TGCTTCATTTACTTTTACCTAACATTCTGCTCCTTTTAACTCTAGCTTAACAAATAAAAAAAACAGTTTAGCCAATTTTAGCTACTGTTTACCCTTTGCTATCATATAGCTACTTTTAGCTTTAAATTAGTCTTGCTACTTTTAGCTAAAATTCTGCTTCATTTACTTTTACCTAACATTCTGCTAGCTGTAGCTTAACAAATTTATACAGTTTGCCAATTTTAGCTACCGTTTTGAAAATCTTAGCATTTATTAAGCTGATTTAAACTAATGTTTTGCTTCTTATTGCTTTTAGCTGGTCTCTTGATTTTAGCTTCAATTTGACTATTTTCAGCTTTTAGCTACTGTTTTGCTATTTTTAGCTTTTGCTACCTTTAGATATCATTCCATTTTCTTCACTAGAATTTTGCCAATATTAGTATCTGTTTAGCCTATTTTTGCTACTCTGTTGCTAATTTCAACATTAGATTAGCTCATTTTGATTTTAGCATCTGTTTGCTAATTTCACCTACTGTTTAGCTGCTTTTAGCTACTGTATTGCCATATTTAGCTTTAAGCTACTGTTTTGATAATCTTAGCATTTCTTGCTCATTTTAGTGATTGTTTTACTGCTTTTAGCTTTTAGTTCTACAGTTTTTAGATTCCAGTTACTGATTTGAAACATTCAGCTCGTAGCTGCTGTTTTACTACTTTATCTTTAGCTACTGCATTGCTAATATTCACATTTGTTTAGCCAATTTTAGTTACTGTGTTGCTCATCAGAGTTGCTAAACTAATTTTAGCATCTGTTTTGCTCATTTTAGCTACTGCTCTGCTCTTTTCAGCTTTTAGGTAGTAGCTTACTCTAGAAGTGAAGTGAAGCTGCTTTTAGCTACTATTTTGCTATATTCTTTTTTTAGCTGTTGTTTTGCTACTTTGAGCGTTAAGCTACAGTTTTGTTACTTTAAGCTATAGTTTGCTAATATTGGCATCTGTTTTGTTAACTTCACTGTGTTGCTAATTTAAGCGTCAGTTTAGCAAATTTTAGTTGTAGCATCCGTTTGCTAAAAATTTTAGCTAATGTTTAGCTAATTTTAGCAATTGCTTTGCCTATTTTAGCTAATGTTCTGCTGTTTTTAGCTTTTGGCCACTGTTCCATTGTTTTTGCTTTAGTTGGTGTTCTGATACAGTAATTTTAGCCTGTTTGGTTGGTTTAAGCTCCTGTTTTGGTTGATGGCGCTGCATTTTTTCAGAACATGAGACGTCTCCGGTTCTTCAAGCCTAAAAGCTGCTGCAGAAGTGAAGTGACTCCCTTTAGTGTTCTCACCTGTACCTCAGCAGCTCCGGTGCGTACTTCGACTTGGCCTTGAACACAACCTGAGAACAGAAAGGAAGATGGCTCATCATGCAAATGTGTCACGCCGCTTTCACTTCTCTATTCTGGCTTCTCGGATAAACAGCCGATGTAAAACAGGAAACGCACAAAGTAGCTGAAAATGATGGCGCTTGACATTCTCTCTGTTAATACTCTGCTGTGATTCACTTCATCACGGGAGGATTAGGCTAAAAATAAGCCTCGAGCTGTGGGCTATGAAGGCATCGGTTGATATAGGGGTTGTGTAAGCAGCTAAAGAAATGATTCACAATATCACAGCTTATAGCTCGTCTGAATGAGGCTCTGACTCTGACACAGAGAAAACCTGCATGTCCGTATTAACATGCGACATAATAATCAAATCAATAATCATAACAGATTTATCAGCTTCTATGAACTGCTGAATCCAGATTTAGACTTTCCTAATCACAACTTTTAGTCACTGTTTTAGGTTTTAGCTACATGTTTATTACCAACTTTAACTACACTTTTGCTGGTTTTAGCTTTTAGCTATAGTTTTGCTTCTTTGATGCTGATTTGTAAAATTTAAGTTTAACTATTTTGCTAGTTTTAGCTTTCAACTTTTATTTTATTAGCTTTAGTCAGCAAAAACTTTAGCTTTTAGCTACTATTTGGTTTTCTTATTTGATTTTAGCTATGGTATTGCTTGTTTAAAATTTTGGCTACTGTTTTGCTAAATTTAGACGTTACCTACTGTGTTGCTAGCTTTAGCTTTTAGCTACTGTTTGCATGGTGTTAGCTTCTTTTTGGGGAGTTTACCTTTTATTTACAGATAAGCAAATTTTAGGTGTTTAATACAGTTGTGCTGACTTTAGATTTCAGCTGTGGTTTTGCTAGTTTTAGATTTTAACTACAGGTACTGTTTTGCTGGCTTTGTCATTTAGCTTTTGGTTTGCTGATTTTTAGATTTTAGCTACTATTTGGTTTTCTTATTTGGTTTCAGTTATGGTATTGCTTGTTTTAGATTTTGGCTACTGTTTTGCTAAACTGTTTTGCTGGCTTTAGCTTTTACCTACTGTTTTAAGTTTTAGCTACTTGTTTATTACCAATGTTCACTACTCTTGAGCTGGTTTAGCTTTTAGCTACAGTTTTGCTTGTTTAGTTTCATTGCTAATAAGCAAATCGTAAGTTCAACTACTCTTTTGCCAGTTTTAGCTTTCAGCTTTTATTTTGTTGGCTTAAGCCAGCAGAAGCTTTAACTTTTAGCTACTGTTTAGTTTTTTATTTGGTTTTAGCTATGGTATTGCTTGTTTTAGACTTTGGTTACTGTTTTGCTAAACTCAGGCATTACCTACTGTGTTGCTAGCTTTAGCTTTTAGCTACTGTTTTGTTGGCTTTAGCTTTTAGCCATGGTGTTGTTAGCTTCTTTTTGGCGGGTTTACCTTTAAGCTACAGTTAAACAAATTTTAGGTGTTTAATATGTGCTGACTTTAGTTTTCAGCTATGGTTTTGCTAATTTTAAATTTTAACTACTGTTTTGCTGGTTTTGTCATTTAGCTTTTGGTTTGCTGATTTTAGATTTTAGCCACTGTTTGGTTTTCTTTTTTTGGTTTCAGCGATGCTATTGGTTGTTTTAGATTTTGGCAACTGTTTTGCTAAATTCAGGCATTACTGTTTTGCTGGATTTAGCTTTTAGCTACTGTTTTATTTTAGCTATTTGTTTATTACCTATATTTACTACTCTTGTGCTGGTTTTAGCTTTTAGCTAGAGTTTTGCTTGTTTAGTTTATTTAATACTGATTAACAAATTGTAAGTTTAACTACTCTTTTGCTAGTTTTAGCATTCAGCTTTTATTTTGTTGGCTTAAGCCAGCAGAAGCTTTAGCTTTTAGTTACTGTTTAGTTTTATTATTTGGTTTTAGCTATGGCATTGCTTGGTTTAGATTTAGGCTACTGTTTTGCTAAATTCAGGCATTACCTATGCTGCTATAGCTTTTAGCTACTGTTTTGATGGCTTTAGCTTTTAGTTGTGCAGTTATTGCTGGTTTTACAATTTAGCTTTGTTATGCACATTTTAGCTTTTTAATACTGCACGTTAGCTTTCAGCAACAGTGATTTGAAAATGTTAGGTTTTCTGTTTTGCTGGCTCTAGCATTTAGCTTTTAGCTAACAATAAATTGTTAATGTTAGCATTTAGCTGCAGATAAAGATTCGACACAAGAAATGCATGTTCTGTAATAGAACAAAATGTCTCCCACACTTGTCTCCGCCGTGCTGCAGGACCGCACAGCTGGACGCATCTGGACGCAGGTCGTGACTCCCTGCAGCGCCGCCCCCTGCGGACTCACCTGAGCGAAGTACAGGTTCATGAGGCAGAGCGTGAAGAACTGCAGGCACACCGGGCAGCAGTACAGCAGCCAGAAGGGGAAGGGTCCCAGGGTGTTCGCCGTCACGAAGCTCCGGAAGTAGAAGGAGAAGAGCACGGTGCGGAGCGCCGACCACAGCAGGCACAGGAACAGGAACACCGTCTGGTAGCTCAGCCGCTTGTGCCGGTACCGCAGCACCAGCCACAGCTGCACGTAGACGAAGGCGAACAGGAGCGAGTAGAACACCGTGTAGACCACCGTCAGGCTCAGGGTGACGTAGGGGGGCACGGCGGGGCTCAGGGTGGGCAGAGGCTGCTCCTTCAGAGCGGGCTCCGTCTTCTCCTCCGCCGGGGTCTCCATGGCTGGCTCCCCGGTGCCGGGCTCTGCCGCGGAAGGGAGCGAGCTGTCAGAGCGCTGGAGGAGCCGGGGACAGCCCGAGGCGCATGATCAGAGAGGAGGCTCCCCGACCAGCCTCCTCCTCACCGCGCGCTCGTGACGTCACGCTGCGTCTCGGCTGACGCACGCGGCTGTACCTTTAACCCTGTGATGGAGCTTCCCACCCGTCCCAGGAGGAGAACTACACCTGAAGAGCTGATGGTGTAAGTACCAACTAATTACCTTTAGGAGCCAATGCCATTCAAGATGGCCGCCACATCCAATGGATCATGTAAAACTTTTAAAAAATGGCTGAAACGTGATGTGGTCGTAGCTGAGAGTCATCCCCAACCTATATTCTGAGGGCCACGCACTGTACAAGATCTCTGCTTAACATTTCTGCGTTGTGTTTTTGTCACCCTTGTCTGTTAGCAAAATATCTCATGAACCACTGAATGAATTTTTATGAAACTCCCTGGAAATAATCACTGGATGTAAAAACGCATCTGATTCATGTTTGGTGTCAATCCACTTCAAGATGGCCGCCACAGCTAATCGACCTTAGGAAACACACAAATGGCTATAACTTAGCCACAGTCTTAGATATTGGGCTAAAACTTGATGTGGTAGTAGCTGGGAGTCATTCACAACATATTCTGAGCTCATGAGATTATGCTAAAGGTTATTCTTAAGGTTTGAGCATCATTTTTCATCACATTATTTGAGTGTAAAACAGTATGAAAGCAGAGACGGGTGATCTGGATTCTTTCAAGGAACACTATGTCTTTACTTCATTTCTCTTTTGCTTCTAATGAAACTGGTCTTCATCAGTAATTCAGTGATTCTTCAGACTCTCTGGTCAGTCAAAGTTTTATTTTGTCTTTAGCTGCTTTTTGACTCATTTTCTGTCCGGTCCTTGTAACTGATAACGATCGCTTCATGTTCAGTGAGTGTTTAAAGGTGGGGACAGAAGTACTGCAGACGGTACATAAAACACATAATACGTAAATTATCAGAGTAATCTAAATCCAAAGCATGGATTCCTTCCCTCAACAACCAACAAACTAGGAAATTAGCTTAAAAAAGCTGAAATTAGCAAAAAGTGGCTGAAAAGTAGAAAAAAGCTTAAACTAACAGAAGGAAGTGGACAGAGCTGAAATTAGCTCATAAATATGAAATTAGCTGAAAAGACCAAAATTAGCAAAAAATCTAAATAGTAGCTGAAATAGCTGAAAAAGCTGAAACTAGCATAATTAAGCTGAAAGGGCTATAACAAACTGAAATTATCAGAAAGAAGTTAATTAGGCTGAAAGCAGCAGAAATTACACAAAAAAATGAATGTATCTGAAAATAGCTGAAATTAGCTAGAAAACACTAAAAAAAAGAGTAGCTAAAAAGGTAGAACAAGTTTAAATGATCAAAAGAAAGCAGACATGTTTGCCCATTTAAGCTGAAATAAACAGGAATGAGCACAAAAAAGTGTAAATCATCTGGAAAAAAGCTTAAATGAGCATAAAACTGCTGAAAAGTAAAAGGCAGAAATTACCAGAAGGAAGTGAAAGAACATTTTTAGCTGAATTAGGCTGAAAAGGTTGAAATGAGTGCAAAAATGTGTATTTAGTTGAAAAAGCTGAAATTAGCATAAAACAGCTAAATATTAGCTGAAATAGCAGAAAAAGCTGAAACTTGCAGAACTAAGCTGAAAGGTGCATAACAAGCTGAAATTAGCAGAAAGAAGTTAGAAGAAGCACAAAAATGTTGTAGTTAGCAGCAGGAATCAGAAAGGAGCACAAAACAGCTGAAAAGAGCTGAAAAAAGTTTGAATTTGCACAAGGAAGCTGAAAGAAGCTGAAGCAGAACAAAATGTGAAAGGAGCAGTAAAAGGCTGTAAACACATCTAAAGATTTGAAGGATGTAAAAATGAGCTCAGTTCATTTTCTGTGAGGAAAAAAAAATGTCAGAAAAGGCTAAATATTTCAAAAAGCTAAAGTTGCACCAACACTAAAATGATAGCTGTACAGTCCTGAAAGAGCCGAACGTTTTGATTTATGATTTCTTGAAACAGGTGAAAACTGCGGGACGAGAATCGCACCGAAAAACACACAGAAGAAAAATGGATCACGATAGAGTTCGTGAACATCGACAGAATGAGGTCCAACGTGGAGCCAGACTCCGAGGACAGAAAACATGTGGAGTTCCACCATAGACAACGTCCTATGGACGGTCTCAAGGATGGACAGTCTGGGAGACAAAGGATTTGACACTTCTATGTTTCTATGGAGCAAAGAAAAGTTTTTTCTAAAGAGGTCCCTTGTGACCTTGACCTTTGACCCTATGACAGTGAAATCAACAGGGGTCATCCTTGACCTACGAGGTGACCAGATGTGCAGTTTGACACTTCTGTGTTAGTTAGTTATCGTTGAATGTTTGACGACCACTGATGTGAAACACGCCGGGTGTTCATCTAACGTCACCTTTTTGCTGCTAAATCACACTTTGTGCGTTTTCTTTGGTGTTTTGTGTCGATTCAACTTAAATGGGAACAAATGTCTTTGTGACTGAACGCTGATTATAAAATAAATATCTAAAAGATCCAACTTCCTTACAGAGCGGTTTGTTCTGCGTCGACACAAACCTGGCTCATCCCTTGAGTTAGGAGCTTCCTCAAATAATCAGAATCAAAACATTTAAAGTAAACCAAAAAAATAACATGGTTCTGTACACACCGGGCTAAAAGTGAGTATAAAAGCTGCTAAAGTAAAAAAAAAAAACACTTAAATGACCTTCAGAAAGAGAAAGAATTTCTCTCAAGACGTTTAAGTAGTTTAAAATATACAAAATAAATCTGGCTCCTGAAAGAAGTAGAAGTACTCAAGAATTTTGCACAGTAGTATGTATATTTAACTTCTCTTAACCTTGATTTAAAGAAACTATTATAGAAAACTAATAAAGATTTTAGCTAAACCTGAGTTTAATTGACGTTTAGTGATGAGAGACCATGAAAAGGCTCTTTAAGGCTTTTAGCTGCGTCGGGTGAAGGAGTGACCGGCTCAGCACGTCACTCGAGCAGAAGACGAAATAAAATAATAAAGTAAAAGACGGGGATTCAGAATAAGTCGGCACTTCGTGGATTTTACCTCCGGATACGAGTCAGAACCAAATAGGTAGAAATCTAGTTTCTGCGACACGTGTCAGACTTTACGTTGGTTCAGTTTTTAATCTAAAGAAATAGAAAGTTTTGTTATTTAGATTAAATTTGTGCTTAATTCTGACACATTTTTAACCCTACAGACCTCCTGAGCTTTAGAAAACACAATCATTTCACTCGGGAAATCACATTTCCTGCAAAAATATTGTGTGAATGCTTATTGCTGAAGAAATTGCTGACAAACAGCTGAAATTAGCTTAAAAAAAACTGCTGAATTGTAGCTGAAATGAAAGAACAAGCCTTAATTGGCAGAAATAACACATTTTGGCTGAATTAGGTTTAAATAAGCAGAAATTAGCTAAAAAAAATTAGTAAAACAAAATCGCTGAAAAGTAGCTGAAAAGAAGCTTAAACTACCAGAAGGAAGTGGAAATAACTGAAATGAGCTAAAAAAAAATAAAAAAGTGGAATTAGCTGAAAATGCTAAAATTAGCATAAAAACAGCTAAATAGTGGCTGAAATAGTAGAAAATACTTAGCAGAAAAAGTTGAAAGGCGTATAACAAGCTGAAATTACCTTAAAGAATTTAATTGGGCTGAAAGTAGCAAAAATTACCATGAAAACTGGAATCGATCTGAAAACAGCTTAAATTAGCTAAAATGCTAAAAACAAAAAGGTAGCTGAAAAGATAGAAAAAGCTTAAATTAGCATAAAATAGCAGAAAGAACTAAGGGTGCACTGATAAATCGGACGGCCGATTTAGCTGCCGACCGATTTCCTTAATTTTGGGAAATTGAAAATCGGCCGATACTTGCACGAGAAACTGATTTTACCAATTTTTAAAATTTCAACAACAATTTATTTCATTTATATTTCAGAGCACTCCCAGTTAAAACACGTTTGTATTGTTCTACGATATTGTTCACGGGCGTGTTTTCAACAAAATAATATTGGACAATTGAAGGTGCAGTGTGACGTCGTAACACCCGACAGTGTCGCTTATAAAACAAAATCACAATCGGCAGCTCAGACTTTTTAAGAAATCGGTGATCGGCCAGAAAACTGCAATCGGTGCACCCGTAGAAAGAACGCATCCTGGTTTCATTAGAGAGTTGTTCTAGATGCTGCTGGCTGCGGGCAGGAAGGATCAGCAGAATACGGTCGATAATAATAATTATCAAAGGGGAAGAACGCCAGCAGGACTAAACTAGCTGCAGTTGAATCCACATCAGACTTTGTTGGCCTCGTGTCCACCGAGTGTCTGGTGGGAAATGACCCCTCGGGGGCAGTGATGTCACTAGCTGTGATTTGTCTCCATGTTGCCTGGGAACCAGCAACCTGTTGTCCAACACGTCCTTTTATGGACTCAGCAGAGGACCTGATAATCAGGCTGAAGTTGTCACCTCTTCATATTTATCGATTCACAAGTAAAACCGAAGACGTGGGCAACTTAAAGGACTGCAGCCCGACTGTGGAAGTAAAACATGGCAGCAAATGTATCGGATGGATGTGCATTTGCATCATCGTTATGTAATTAGCATTTAACTGGTCAAACACTACGTTTAAATGCAGCCAAGAGGAAGGCGCCGCAGCCGGAAGGATCCTGTTCGGTGTCGTCCGTGGGAGAGTGAGAAAAGATGGATGCATCGAAAAGTCAAAGGTGAGGTGGTCCGACCCAGATCTTTGGACTTCCTGCTGTTCACATGCCCCCCATCCTGGAACCGAAAACCAGAACAAACTGGGCATGTTAGAACTGGGAACACGTCTAAAGTTAAAAACCATAAAATCACACCATAAATACATGAAAAAACAACAAACAAATATGCAAACAAACACA